TATAGAGCCATAACCAATTCACCATGTATTATTAGGAATCTCAATAAAAAAAGATTCATGACACACTAAAGAGAAGAGTTTACCTTTTTTTACGAGCCACTTTTGATACTTAGGGCATTCTTTCTTAACATATCCCCATTTCTTCTTATGGAAGAAACATTTACTATTATTGCCATTTTGCTTTATTGGCATATTTTCATGTTTCTTCACTTTTAGAAACCAAATGAGCATTTTTAGGTTTTTCAAGTTTTGATCTCCTTTTTTTGGACACACAAGGTCAATAATTCATTAATTGACTATTTTTCCTTATGTGTATTGTAAGAAATCTTAACGGACCATATGTCATATGGAGAGTATTCAAAATGAAAAACACAAAGAATGACTCATAAATCTCTAACTCTAAGGACTTTAATTGAGCGACGAATGTCCCTCATTTTCATAATGTGCTCGCGCACACCTTTAAAATAGTTAAATGACTTATTAGAAAGCTTCTTCATTAAGGTGTTGACTAATGCCTTATTAGAATGAACAAAGCTGTTCCTCTATGGTCTTCGGAAATTTTTTGCCTTAGAGCATTCGATGATTGAATCCCTAATACTCTTATTTATGCGAGACTTTATGAGCATTAAACTTAAGCGATTAAATAGCTCCCACTCGCTCATAATTAGTCCTTTTCTATGCATCACTTGAATCCATGGGGATGCGTGGTTCATCCACACGTAAGGCTAAATCCAAATCCACACACCCTAATGCAAAGAGAATATTTTCTTTCCAATCGGCAAAATTATCACCATATAGCATTGGAATACTAAATGTATCAATAAAAGCGAGTAGAAAAAGCTGCAATAACCAAGAAAAGACTTTAATACTATAAAAAATATATTTTATTTAAATTAACCAATGTCAATTTAATAGTAAATTCTAACCTTCCTGTAGGTAAAGGTTGTACCATGCATAGAATTCACTAATTCTTTAATAATAAAACTAATAAATAAAATATCAAGAATACAAAATATTCACACTCGAGGGCCTAGAATAAAATCCATTCTTAATATCAATTTATTATCTTATTTCAATTAAATCATAAAAAATAGCAACCTCCCTATAAGGCCAAGTCATTATTTTATAAAATAATTAAAAATTAAGCTATACTTTATGAGCATATTAATTTAATAAATTTTAATGTGATCATCAAAATAACTTAAGATGATGTGGCTATTCCTAAGTCAATTGATATTACTATCTTAACATAGTATGCTTTAATATCAACTCACAACTCTATGTTGACATATCAAAATAATAATATAAACCATTTTATTATTTATTTATTATTATATTTAGCAATTTTTCTACATATAACTTACGCTAACAAAACCTATAATATATGCATGAAAAATTAAAAGAAATTGTTTACAAGCAAACAATTGAGTTTATGAAAAACATATTATATATGTGCATAATTATTTCAAAGTCAATAAATACACATCATATAGACTATATCTATGCTTTAAAATATATATATATTTTGCATCGTTATTTGCAAAAGTCAAGACCGAGTGTACCTAAAGTTCACGATGGATCGACCTAAAGTCTAGACAACATGCCACGGATGAAGGATTTCGGTAAGTCTAGGACTTACGATTCATATACACCCCACGGATTAAGGACTTTAATAAGTCGGGGCTTGTGATTTTTATACATGTCATGGATCCGGGGCCATGTGATTCATATACATTGAATCATTAAATAAATAATAAAAATACAATTTTGACAAACTATACCACTTTGTCATAGCCTTTTTTTTCCTTTCGCTACATGAAAACCGACATCAAAGGTTGCTACCAAAAGGAATCTCATATAGATGGCGGCTCCAAAAGGATGATTATATCATATTGTTCAATTGCATGTGTGATGTATTTTTATTAAAATTGATGCTTGCAGACATTAATCAAAATAGCAAGAACCGAGCTCGATACCACATATAAGGTAATTAAATATGCCTAAGCATATAAGCGCAACGAAAATTAATAGAATACATATATTCTGTCATAATTAATTAAGTACTCAAGATATTGATGAAGGAAAATTAGAGTCGTCAAAGAGAGATAGCCTTCTAGCCTATGCCAATACTTTAGGGTTTTGTGTGTTGATGAAAAATACGGGCTTTACTTACTATTTATATGGCTAGATTAGGGATCCTTTCTTTAACCTAATTTTGCACCTCCATCCATCATAGATATGCCTAGCCCAACTATAGTCCATTAGGCTCTAAGTCTTTAAATTATCACTTATAGATTTAAAACAAAACATGACACATGAGCCACATTATAGAAATATTTCTTACATGCTTTTCCTGCATTTAGATGCTTGTAGTGTTTGAATTTTTTTAATTGAGATTTTTATTTTTTTTATTTTTATCTTGATTAAGAATTGTTATTTTTTCAAAATTTTTTATTTTAATGATACTAATCGAGTAATTGATACATAAAATTATAAGGTAAAAAATTTAAAGAAATGTCAATTATTGATTGGTGGTATTAGTAAAAAGAATTTAAAGTAAACAAAATTTAAAAAATAATGAGTTTCAATTAAATTAAAAAATTAAAAATTAAAATTAAAAAAAAAACTTGTCAATGTCTACACACTATCATGATCATAGCTTATGGTTTTATTTATTTATTTTCTTTTTTCACTTTCTTAATAGCCATTAATTCTTTGAATTAATTGTTTGTGTCTTCCAAATCTCAACTGAAACCAAATAGGCATCGAAAATACTAACCCATTTCACCATTTCTTTTGGGTTTTGGAAATAATATTCCACTTATTATTATTATTCATTAAAAAAATCTCAATTTACTCGTAATTGCCACACTATCTATGTATTATTGACACTTTATCTTGTTAAAGAATTAATTTTTTAAATTAATTAGTCCTCCATATGCAATGCTTTTCTTTTTTCTAACAATCGACTATATATATATATATATATATATATATATATATATATATATATATATATATATATATATGCTTCTTTTTTCCTATCTTTCCGTTTTCTTTTTTGGGTTTGTTTTTTGTTTAATTTCTGCATATTTTGCTTTGTTGGAGAAAATATTTGTTCTTAACTATTTATAATAAAGCTATTTGTGCTATTTGCCTTTAACATTGCCAACGGGAATAATTGTGACACATACTTGTGTGGAATCCGAAAATGATGGAGTTGAACAGTTTTTCTCTTTCTTTCTTTTTATTATATCTTAATGCGGCAATAAGGACTAGATTGGTATTGCATGAGAATTTTAAAATACTTGCAGAGTAATTAGTATAAAGATACAATAGGTATTTTATAGATTTAAAAAAGAGATAGATATATAAAAAATGAGAATTATATTCAAACTTATATAAAAAAAGAAGATTTCTACATAGATGGATCATATATAAAACATGTATCCGTTTTATCCGATTCAATGAATATCCGTTAAAAATATCCAATGCATATTGAAGTGAATAAGGATAAAAAAATATATACCTACTAATATGATTTCGGAATATGAGTATCTATTCTTTATCTTATTAATATCTAATAATTTATTTAGACTTTTTTATTAACATACATGAATCTAATTGCATAAAATTTAAAATTAAGGATCAAAATATTTTTTTCGAAACTCGAAGGATTAAAAAACTTATAAATAAATAACCAAAATGCAAAAAAAAAAAAAAAAAAGAATAAAAAATTTTTCTAAAAAATTATAGGGATTCAAATGAATATTTTTAATAAATTAAATTTAACGTGTATTAAATGAACAAATAAACTAATATGGATCGGGTATAAGTGGTGTAAAGATTTATATGATGGGTTCTTAATAGATAATGAGTATGATATTCTTTTAATAGTTATAATAAAAAAATGATTTAATGGGTCGGATACTCGTCTATTGTCATCCTACTATATAGTCTCATTTTTTTTCTCTCTCTTATATATATATATATATATATATATATATATATCTTTTGTAGAGTAATTTACACTAATTATTTTATGATTATTTTATGAGTAATATAAAATTTCTTCATACGAGAGATGATCTTGGCTCCTGATTTATAGATGTTAGCATTTCTTGATTAAATGTAGGTTGCCAAGTACTTAATAAGCTAAAATTTGTTAGTTTTATTTTTTTATTATATTTTACCTATCTTTTTTTTTATGGAGTAACTTATACTAATTATTCTATAATTACTTTATAAGTAATATAAAATTTTTTCATTCGGGAGATGGTCATGACCCCTGATCTATAAAGGTTAGCATTTCTTGATTCAATGTACGTTGCTAAGTACTTATTAAGCTAAAATTTGTTAGCTTTGTTCCCTTTTTTTTTTTTTTTTTTAATTGAAAAGGCTAAGTTCTTTGCGATATGTAAGAGTATTGGTGGTGGCAACTTTGCTAATAAAGTCATCAATGTGGTACTAATTAAGCTACACAAGATCAAACCTCCCAAAAGTCCAAAACTCATGAATCAAAAACACCTACAAATCTGTAAATTAGAAGAACACTCAACTTCTGTTTTCCATCACCCAATTTCGCAAAGAAAAGCTCTATAAATGGTTGATGATAAACAGCGTTTCCTTAATTTTGCCTTAAACTAAGCAGTCTTTTGATCGGAACAGGTCTTTTTTCTTGTTTTTTAGCAAAACAAGACTCCAATTAACAGTAGTTGATAATTAATGGATGGGTGAAGACTACAGACTTTGTGCCTCAACCTCATTCCTTCCGTTCACAAAATGAAACAAGACTCCACTCTCAAGACTTTCGGGTCCCAGCTAGCGTGTCTAATATTCCCGCTTATAGTTTATTTAGTCCCTCTATTCTTAATTTTGTACTATTTTGGACTCTCTATTTTAAGTTTTACTGATCGACCAAACAGTCTGATTATGGGAGAAGCTATTACCGCCAAAGCCATCACAACAATCGTTAGTAAACCACATCACTCAGACCCGTGATGCTCAGACTATTCACCGGCGGATGTTTCCTCTCTCTTCGGAGCTTCAGCTCCAGCATTCATTCCCAACTCCACAACTTGACCCCTGAAGTCACCGACCTTTTCAAAAAGGTTCGCTTGCTCTCCACCCTCGGCAACCTTAAAGAAGCACTCTCCTTCTTCTACAGCACACCACAGCTAAACCAGTCTCAACAAACCTATGCCACACTCCTCCATGCCTGTGCACGCCATGGCTACCTTAAACAAGGCCAATACTTACACCAACACATGATTTCCCAAAACCCCAACAACCCACAAGATCTCTTTCTAACTAACCACCTTATAAACATGTATGCAAAATGCGGTGATTTGGACTTTGCACGTCGACTGTTCGATGAAATGAATAACAGAAATGTGGTTTCTTGGACCGCGCTCATTTCTGGGTATGCCCAACAAGGGCGAAGTCACGAGTGCTTTTCCTTGTTTTCTGATATGTTGGTGGATTGTTGTCCGAATGAGTTTTCGTTTGCCAGCGTGATTACTTCTTGTAATTACGTTTGTGGCAAGCAAGTGCATGCCCTCGCGTTGAAAATGGGGTTGATTGCTAGTGTTTATGTAGGGAATGCTCTTATCACAATGTACAGCAAGAGTTGTGAGGATAATGTTGTCGGTGATGGTAGTGAGGCTTGTCGTGTTTTTGAGACAATGGAGTTTCGTAATCTGGTTTCTTGGAATTCAATGGTTGCCGGGTTTCAACATTGGAAACTTGGGGGTCTAGCTATTGGACTTTTTTGCCAAATGCATAGTCGTGGTGTGGAGTTTGATGGTGCTACTTTGGTCAGTGTGTTTTCTTCCTTGAGTGAGAGTTATGATGGCGATAATGCTGATGTGGGTCTTAAGGGTTGTGTTCAGTTGCACTGTGTAAGTATCAAACATGGGTTTATGTCGAAAATTGAATTGGCAACTGCACTAGTGAAAGCTTATTCGGATCTTGGAGGGGAGGCTTCTGATTGTTACAGGCTCTTCATGGAGACAAGTAGTCGGGATCTTGTTTTGTGGACTGGCATTATAACAGCATTTGCTGACCGTGAACCAGAAGAAGCAATCTTCCTCTTTCGTCAGTTGTACAGGGAGGGTTTAGCACCCGATTGGTATACCTTTTCAATTGTGTTAAAAGCTTGTGCTGGTCTTGTGACTGAAAGGCATGCTTTGGCAGTTTATTCTCAAGTAGTTAAAGCTGGGTTTGAGGACGACAGAGTGCTTGCAAACACCTTGATCCATGCCTATGCTAGGTGTGGCTCCATTTCTTTTTCAAAGCAAGTTTTTTATGAAATGAGATCTCGTGATGTTGTTTCCTGGAACTCTATGATCAAGGCTTATGCTCTACATGGCCAAGCTAAAGAGGCATTGCATCTCTTCTCAGAAATGAATGTCAGACCTGACTCTGCAACGATGGTCGCTCTCCTCACAGCATGCAGCCACGCTGGACTAGTGGAAGAAGGAATCAACATCTTTGATTCAATGTCTCTGAATCATGGTGTTTTTCCACAACTTGATCACTATGCCTGCATGGTGGATATTCTAGGTCGAGCTGGGCGTCTTTTGGAGGCAGAGGATCTTATAAGTAGAATGCCAATGGAGCCTGATTCAGTGGTTTGGAGTGCGCTGCTTAGCTCATGCAGGAAGCATGGCGAGACTCAGTTTGCAAAATTAGCTGCAGATAAACTGAAAGAGTTGGAACCGGGAAATTCGTTAGGCTATGTACAGATGTCAAACATTTACTGCTCTGGAGGTAGTTATAATGAAGCAGGGCTGATTAGGAAAGAAATGAAGGGCTCTAGAGTAAGAAAAGAACCTGGTTTAAGCTGGATGGAGATTGAGAATCGAGTACATGAGTTTGCCTCTGGAGGCAAGCGTCATCCTCAAAGAGAGGCCATATATGCTAAACTTAATTCATTGATTGGGCAGTTAAAGGAGATAGGCTATGTGCCAAATACAAGCTTGGCCCTGCTAGACATAGAGGAGGAGCATAAACAAGAGCAGTTGTACCACCATAGTGAGAAGCTGGCCCTGGTGTTTGCACTGATGAATGAAGGTAGTTTGCGTTTTGGTGGAGGCATAATAAGAATCATGAAGAACATCCGAATTTGTGTGGACTGTCACAACTTCATGAAGTTAGCATCAGATCTTCTTCAAAAGGAGATTGTGGTGAGAGACTCAAACCGTTTCCACCAGTTCAAAAATAGGGTCTGCTCTTGCAATGACTATTGGTAACAAAGGAGCACCATTGACCAAAATTACCCAGTTTCCACCTGATTCCATCATGGTTCATCGAGCACCTCATGAATGAATGCGAGTCATTCTCCAAATTCCTCATCAACTTCTGTTGACCTGTGATATCTCATTCTGAGAAATATTGGATATCTGGTGCTGAATTTTTTATGACTTGGGTGGAATTTTAATTAATGTTATTTCTCTGAAAAGCAGTTCAGATTCTTCTGAAGTTAACAGAGTTTGATTATAGAATGCACTATTTGTCAGAGAAACATTTTATGGCAGTAACTGCAATTGATCTAAGTGATTGGAGCAACCCTCAGTGTTCCTGACCAAGTATCTGCACTGAGAATGTGAGTATCTAAAAAGAAGCAATTTTGTTAGCTCATCTGCTAGTTTTTAACCAACGTTTTGCAGCTGTGAACAACTGGACCGGAGTATGGACAGAAGCTCTAAGAATTGCAAGAGATTCTTTGAAGTGTAAAAGATAGAGCTCTTATGAAGATTTTATCTAACTATTCATTTTTGACAGCCTTATGCATTCCTATTAATTAAAATAAAACAGTTTTGAGATTCTTACTCAACAATTGTTTCAGATTGTTTGAGAATCCAGGAAACAACTTGGCTGTTGAAATTCGAGGACAGCATCTTTACTCATTGATGAAAGTCAGTCAAGGTTCTAGTTATATCGTTCCATTTCCCAAGTGGGCTGAGAACCAAGACAAGCAATAATGTGCTGCTCACAACGATAAAACGTTATCCCATCAAGTTTATTGATGTCTTGCTGCAGTGATTATGCAAATAGCGAAATTCTCTCTTCGACATTGCGTCATTAGCATCATCATCTGCGTCATCGACTTGGCTTGTTTCTTAATATACTTCACCAGCTTGCTGATGCTTGTTTCTTGCAGACATCATTTCTACAAGCCTTCACAGTACAGTATAAAGGCTTATATGTGGAGGAAAAAAAAAAAAAAAACTCCAGCTACCAGCATCAAGTTTTAATCAAAGCAACAGAAGATAGAGATGGTGAAACTATTAGTAGTTTGTTTTAATCTCTTTGCTATAGTTCTTCTGCAGATGCTGTATCAGAAAAGCAGGACAGGCTGTTATTGTATTCTCTGCTTCAGGAAGTTTTCTTAGACAACAGTTTGAAAGTTAGCTGCGTAAGTAAAGTGGACAAAAGAATTTGGAGCTAGATGTCTGCCTGCTTAGCTGTCTGCTAACGTTTTTAAGCTGTTGACAAGATCTGCACCAAATGAGGTCTTCATGTTCAGAATACTCAGCTCTATAGTTATTTTTTCTTTTCCAATCGCACTGTAAAAAAAAAAAAAAAATGTTTCACACTTCATACTTGTTAACAATATTATTCTTTACCAATTGATCGAATCAATTTTATTATTAATATTATTTTAGAGTTTCAACTTTCAATGATGCCCTTCTAACAATATTTTGACAGATTGTGTTAAAACACAAGTTGCATGCATAAAAATTTCGGTAGACAAAAATAGAAAGGAAAAATTATATAAACAACAGAAAAGAAAAGGAGCTTTCAATCCTTTACACAATTTTTTCTTTTAATGATGAAGTGATTCTGGTAATAATATTTATTCCTAGAACAAGATTACATGAAAATTTTGAGTAACTAAATTAGTGGAACATACCGGTCGATTCCAAATTTCTTTACCTCACAACTTTCTTGCAGTTAGGGATGAGAATTTGCCCTGTCTCATTTGAGATGGGGATAGTATTCAAAATTTCATTCCGAACGGCACACGAGATATAGATGGGATAAAATTTTTTAGGACGAGACCATCCTCGCCTCCGTCTTGCTATTTTACCTTTAAAAATGATAATTTGATAAAGTCCCATCTCGTTCTGTTTAAGATAAAAATCGTATTCTTAATTTCATCCCGAACGAAATACGGAGCCAGGATGGAGCGAAATTTTTGAGCTATTCTCGTCCCCGCCCCGCTCATTGCCATCCCTACTTGCATATTCATGGAATCGAATACTTTCAATTCATTCACACTGCAGCTTTCTGGATTTTTTTATTCCGAAAAAATTGGGTTGGTTGGGCCTCTTCTGTAACCTTTTGCCCATAATAATTTAGCATAGACAACGTCATTACTTTTCTTTTCAGATCATTAATTAGAATTCAATTCGTTCTGGCCCAATTTCAGCCCAGCATTGACCCCACCACCAAAGTTTGGTATTTCAATACATGGAACATGGTCCAAGTCATTTTGTTTACCGGAAAGCTAGAAAATAATAATTTTTATTTGTCAAAATATAAATATTTAATTCAACAAATCAATTGTTTATAATTAAAAAGGAAACAAATTACACATTACTTCTAATTAAAAACCAATAGATATAAATTTTCAAACAAAAAATCACAATTAAATAAAATTTATAAAGAAAAATTATATTATTATACTAAATAACATATTAACAAAATTTATATAAAAAAATAGAGATTATTACATATGCATATAATATTTTTATAAGTTTTTATTGAGTAGATGCTAAATAATAGTTCACTAATTAGTATAATTTTAATAATAATATTTGTATTTGACTTTTAATCAAACACTAATTTATTGTTAATCTTGACGTCATCAACCTAAAAAAATAACTACAATCCTATATGTTAGTATTAGCATCAAAATAAATTCCAAAAGCTCTAAAAAAATTAATAATTAAGAAACACACAAGGCAAATATGAATGAAGTCCAACTATTATTATTTTTTTTGAAATGAATTCAAAATAATAAAGGCTCGAAAAACAGCTAATTAACCAAAGGAATAGAAAACAAAAATCTCTAGAGAGAGAAACTGGAGAGAGAAAGAAAGAAAGAGTCCAAAACAAATAGAAAACGATCAGAACATTTTCTTATCGATCTAAACTACCACCTGAATTCAAATCCCACCACCACCACGTCCTCCTCCTCCTCCTTCTCCACCGACACATCTACAAACACAACTGTATCTTTAAGAATCCGCACACAAAATTCATATATGATAAATTTGATTGATTTAGTAGATTAGTGCATTCGTTCATTAAACCGAAATCAAAATGTCTCTCAACATGAAAACGTTTACACAAGCGCTGGCGAAAACGGCAGCGGTCATTGAAAAAACCGTACAAACGACCGTACAAGAAGTTACAGGACCAAAACCCTTACAAGACTATGATCTACTTGACCAGATCGGCTCAGCAGGACCCGGTCTCGCGTGGAAGCTCTATTCTGCGAAGGCAGCGCGTGAGTCAACGCGCACGCACCAGTACCCGACGGTGTGCGTGTGGGTGCTGGATAAGAAGGCGTTGTCGGAAGCACGAGCGCGTGTGGGTTTAACGAAGGCGGCAGAGGACGCGTTTTTGGATGTGATACGAGCGGATGCTGCGAGGTTGGTTAGAATTAGGCATCCGGGAGTGGTGCATGTTGTTCAGGCTTTGGATGAGAATAAGAATGCCATGGCGATGGTGACGGAACCGCTTTTTGCGTCGGTGGCGAATGCGATTGGGAATTTGGAGAATGTGGGGAAAGTGCCTAAGGAGCTCAAGGGAATGGTGAGTTCTGTTTTTTGAGATTTAGTATTGTTTGAATTTTGATTTTGAATTGTTCCTATTTTGTAATTGGAACTCCATTATGTCGGAAAATGTGCCCAGAGGAGTGATTAGAATTAGGCTTAGGTACTGCCTATCCGTAATAGGTATAGCATAACATTTAAGGATTGAGTGCAATACGTTGCGGATAAATGATGAAGTTTAAGGTTGCATATCAAAGCATTTCATAAGGTTAATGTGCATTTTTGCTGACATAACAGTTAACAATATCTGTAGAAAATGATATCAAGTGCCTCCACTCCCTTTTGACTTACTACAGATGGAGATGTAATTGATGTAGATCACTTAGAACCTATGACTTTGGATGGTTTGTGCAATAGTTTTGTATTGTGATGCAAGTGACAAGAGAAGTGGATAGTGGAGAAAGGGAAGTTAAATCTCGTTAAAAGCTCATCCACTCATTCTTGGGAACTAAATCAACAGCATGATGGAAATACTTCCATTAGATGTTACCAGGAAAGTCATCAAGCATGACATCCAGGAACTCCTTCAAGGTATACTAACCTCATGAAGGAAATCAAACTAGACTCCATAAAGTTTGGAAGTCTCTCTAGGTACACTGGTTGGGCGTCATCTCCTCTACCTTACTATTTGAAAGTCTTCTATGATTTAGAATGTAAAGACTTTTCCAAGTTGTTGTGGTACCTAAGAAAAACCTTTATGTGGAGACCTGTTGTCTTTATCCGAGGGCTTAGTAGGTGTCAAAATAATATGGTCTGCCTTTTTAATTGAAGACTTTTTATTCTATTTATTTTTTGTGAACAAAGAATTTCTTATGGTACATCAGCCTATATCTTCTTCTTGTTTTAATTTATCCTTGTCTTGGTTATTGAACTTGAATAATGGTCCTTTCTAGACCAATAGAACTTATATATTCAAATATCATTATCATCCTACGGGCAGTGCATGCTTTTGGGCACCGATCATTCTATTATTCCCGTAAGTTTGGTGGTAAGGTTGCATACAAAAGTTTTTCTTTGAAGGAAATGGGCTTGTTAGAGGTGAAGCATGGCTTGCTACAAATTGCAGAATCCTTGGACTTCCTTCATAACAACGCACATCTCATTCACAGGGCTATAGCTCCTGAGGTAACTTCTTCTTATTTTGCTGCCCACCTGCCCCAAACACACACACACAAAGCTATTTAGAAGTGATAGTCCATGTAAACATGACTTCTGTATAATAATATATTTTTGTATAATTTCTTTACTTTTTTTTGAAACTTCTCTTGGGAAGTTCTTGAATATCTTCTCAACTTGGAAATTGCTGTCTGGAAATCTGAAAGTTCTTGACCGTAAGAACATCCAAGCATAAGTTTTGAATTTCATATTCAAGATAACAAATACAATTTGACTATCTAATTTTTGTGGGGAACCTGTTACATAAATCCTTGTGGTTAGGGGTTAATGTATCTAACAATAGGTTTATAACTTGCAGAATGTTCTAATTACTTCAAGTGGAGCATGGAAGCTTGGTGGATTTGGTTTTGCAATATCAACAGATCAGGCTTCAGGCGATTTGGCTAGTTCCCAGGCCTTTCATTATGCTGTGAGTTGAATTTTTCATTAGGTTGTATTGGGAAGGATCATTTTGACTTTGCCCCTGCTCCCCCTCCCCCTTTCTCCAAATGAAGACGCTTTATGTTTTTCCTAAACCATCCTGCCCACCTATTTAAAGGTCTTTTTCAGATGACTCAGCCACCTTAAATTGACCTTTCCTCAAGTTTCAGCTTGGTTTTACCTTGAATTTTTATCAAATATGCTCATTCCTTGTTGTATCATTTCCTGTATTATCACTCATTCAGACAGTATTCCCTTTCAACCATGGTTATTTTATGAACATTTTAGCTATACAGCTGGCCTTGTCTCTATCCTACATACTTCACATGCACTACTTATTGATTACCATGACCAACCTACAAATACCTACTCTTTCATATTCCATCATATTGTCTCTAAAGTAATTGTTACTTGTGGCAACTTAGAAGTTAAAAGCCACTTCTCCAAACACCTTTGAAGCAGAGTACCTAGAAAGACAAGTTCCACAGCAACTGCTTTGAGGGGATGAATTGATAGAGTTCTTGCTTCTTTTTTCCTCGACCAAGTGCTCCAAAAAACTTCAAGTATGGCGCATTTTCACATGATATTGAGTTCCTTCTTTCCTAAAACCCACAAAAAAGATGAGCAGAAAACCTCCACTGTCATTGGGGCCACAGCTCATCACCAAACTCAAAGAGCCTGTTTCACATGTGCCCTTTTTCTTATGTTCGTTATTCAGTTTCATCAGAAAACATACTTCAAGCAAAGATTGACCCATTATTTCCTGTTTTACGTTGATTTTCCAGGAATATGATGTCGAGGACTCTATGCTGCCCCTTCAGCCATCGCTGAATTACACTGCACCTGAACTTGTTAGGAGCAAAGCACCTTCAGCTGGATGCTCTTCTGATATTTTCAGTTTTGGATGCCTTGCCTACCAGTTGATTGCTCACAAGCCTTTGATTGACTGCCACAACAATGTCAAGATGGTAATTTAAATGTTTTGCTTTCTATGAGTCATTAACATTGAATGTATCCAACAAAGACAGAACTCTTTAAGTTATATGCTTATCTAATCTAGAGGTTCCCCCTCCAACTTATTGCTCAATCAATGAAATCTATAGGTCTTAACTAGAGCATTGGATTTTATTATTCCTTAAAAGAATGCAACATTGGCTGTAACACATTGGTCATTGACATGCAATTCCTTCAGGACTAACCAGTTGTACCATTAATACCTTGACCTGCCGGTTGCTTCAGCTTGTGATTCTGATTTTGGAGAGCTGATAATCATCTTGACATGTGCCGTCAGGGTGGCTTTGCTTTGCTGTTGTGTGGGGTTGACTCTTTAAGTTATATTCTCATCTAATCTAAAGGAGGGTTCCCCCTCCAACTTATTGCTTGATCAATGAAATCTATCTGACCTTAACAAGAGCATTGGATTTTATTATTCCTTAAAAGAATGCAACAGTGGCTGTAACAAATTGGTCATTGATATCCTATTCCTACAGGACTACCCAGTTGTACCATTAATACCTGGATCCCTTGGTTGCTTTGGCTTCTGATTCTGATTTTGGAGAGCTGATAATCATCTTGACATGCCATCAGGGTGACTTTGCTTTGCTTTTGTGTGGGGTCGACTCTCTTTTAAGTTATATGCTTATCTAATCTAAAGGAGGGTTCCCCCTCCAACTTATTGCTCGATCAATGAAATTTATCTGACCTTAACAAGAGCATTGGATTTTATTATTCCTTAAAAGAATGCAACAATGGCTTTAACAAATTGGTCATTGATATGCGATTCCTACAGGACTATCCAGTTGTACCATTAATACCTGGACCCATTGGTTGCTTTGGCTTGTGATTCTGATTTTGGAGAGCTAATAATCATCTTGACATGTGCCATCAGGGTGGCTTTGCTTTGCTTTTGTGTGGGGTTGATCTTCTTATGGCCAACATGACTTGACTACATTGGATCCCTACATTAGAACTTAACCTGAAACATTAACTACCAACTAGATTGAAAATCTTGAGAGGACATACTTTTGACAATAACACTTCTACCTTCTCTTTTATGAATGTGTATTCTTTTTCCAATTGGGGTTTGGGCTCTCTAACTTTGTTCTTCCTGGGAAATTAACTCTTTTGAGGGCCATTCTTTGGAGAATGTCCATTACATTTTTCATTTTAGGATGCTTCGGGGAACACATGATTGTTTCTCAGGTAGGATATAATTTTGGAAAACAATTAGGATGCAAAGCACTTATTTGACATGTCACTTTTTGGTTACTTGGAGTTCTCCCCCGCAATAGAAAAGGATGAAATTCATCCCGTGTCCTTGTACTATCTAGTATTGTCTATTTTAACCCTTCTACCCAGGTATGGTACAAAACAAACCCTGTATTACTGAACGTTAGAACAAACCAGACCTTCCATCCACCTTCGTTAACTATGTGTCATCATATGATTGGTCAAATGTTGGATGGAAGAGCTGGTTTGTTTCAATTTTCAGTAGTACAGGGTTTGATTTGTACCATACCTGGGTAGAGAGGTTAAAACAGACAATACTAGATAGTACAAGGGAACGGGATGAACTTTACCCCAATAGAAAAGGAAATTCTATTCAGAAAGAATGGAGCCATAGTTAATAGGAGGATATGCTACTTTGCTGCTAAACAACAGAACCCGAAACCAAAGCTCAGAAGAAAATTGGAATATCAATGCTTGCCAGTCATCAGTCCTTTTGGTTATTTACTTAATTTCCTCTATTCCATCTAATTGTAACAAAGTTGACATAGAACAGAGGTTGAAAACAGGATGATTCCAATTAGTCTGTAGGACTGGAGCAGTGGAGGCATAAAATGTTTCTAACACCATCATCCTCATTATTTTTTGTGCTATTGGACCCCATTTCAGTTTCAGTTTTATTTTTTATCAACCCTGTTATGAGGCAAAGATAATGAACTTCAAATACTTTTGTTTGTCCTTTCTGCAGTACATGAATGCCTTGAATTACTTATCCAGTGAAGCTTTCTCCTCTATTCCACAAGAATTAGTTCCTGACCTACAGAGGATGCTCTCTGCAAATGAGTCTACCAGGCTAACAGCTATGGATTTTACAGGTGAAACATGAGCCTTGAGGACCTTGTCATTTGTGTATATGCGCATCTATCTATCTGTATGTGGAGTTTTCCTTTCACATATGTTATTGGCTAAGCTTTGGTGGAATGTAATAACATACTAGAACAGATTAATGTGTGTGAAAAAATGGGGGAGTGAGGAGAGGAGGACTGTAGTTTGATGTTGTCTGCTGTTCCTTTTCATAAGTAAATTCTCATGAGAACCCATAGCAAAAGTATTATGGATTTAAATCATCTCAAACCTATATGTTCAATTCCTCAAATCTTTGTAGTTAAGATATGCCATATAAAGTGATCTTCACTTAGATGCTCATGGATATGTTGTTTTTTGCCCTCTTAGTTACCTTGAATGACAAGGTGATTACTATTTATTTAATTGTGGTATGCGGTTGCCATTTTGAAAATGCCAAGGCACCTGTGGATCATCCAAACCCAATTCTTTGTTGTCATTTTTTGTTTTCTCGTACTATATATGCCACTTTCTAATTTCTTGTAATTCTCGTAAGTTTTAACAGAGTCTGGGGGATTCCCTGCTTCTTGATTAACAATATATAGTGTTGAATATGATTTCTTTATCTAATGGATTGGATGGCATATTAACAAATTGTGTGTACTGTCTCAACCCCTGTGACATGATATGACATTGACCTTTTGTTTCAGTTATTAGAAATTGTCTGTAAAGAGAACGGTTTACCTTGCTTAATTAATTTATTTATTTTATTGTTCTTAAGATCTATTTTCTCTTGTTGCAGGTTCTCCATTTTTCAGGAATGACACTAGGCTGCGTGCTCTTCGCTTCCTAGACCACATGCTAGTATGCATTTAAATTTTGTCTTATTTAGCACTTGTTCTTGGATAAATTTGCTTGGGATGCTGTGTTTGAGAATAAATAAATCTTAATTGAAAGCAGGTATGGAAATGATATTTTTCTGGCTAATCCTATTTCCTACAGGAAAGAGATAACATGCAGAAGTCTGAGTTCATAAAAGCATTATCAGATATGTGGAAAGACTTTGACTCTCGTGTGCTGCGATATAAGGTTATGGTTTTCTTTATTCACACATATTAGGTCTTGTTCAATTTTCTACTTGGGTTCTATAGCTATATTTTGTGAATATATGCTTAGTATAAACATTACTTTTGTAATTTTAACCACTTAAAAGAGTTTTATATGAACATTGCTATTTTTCCTGCATGCTTATATTTCCAATCTTGTGATTGAGCAATGCTAATTTTAGGATACATGATTATCCATATCTAATTGTTAAGTGATATATTATCCTTTATGCTTCTTTTTGAGCTTTTATTTCATTGATCTTAAATGGAACATTTAGTATTCTGGTATTTCTTTTGTCCAACAAGAAAATGATCAAGTTCACTAAAGAAGATTTTTCATGCAGGTGCTTCCACCTCTATGTGCTGAACTAAGGAATTTGGTCATGCAACCAATGATTCTCCCCATGGTTCTCACCATAGCAGAGTCTCAGGTACTGCTTATAATCCCTAAAGTGGGGAGTTGGGGGTTGTGGTTTTGGGGAAGAAGGTTTTGGTGAGGGTATCATCACAAACATTTGATGGCCAAATTACAAAGTGTTAGGTGGCAATATTGTGTGCACATTGTTAGAGGCATACTGCTTACTAGTATAAAAGAGATAGATAGAATATCTACATTGAAATTACAAATGATGTTCCATTGTGACCTCTGATGGTTCTTGGAAAAATATTCTAATTGTTGTTTTGGTAGAGATAATTGCTCTCTCTCCTTCTCTCTCCTCTCCTCTCCTCTCCTCTCCTCCTCATTTCCCTTCAGTGTTTTATGCTTCAGAGTCCAAATACATCAGAAGTATAGGTTGTGTATAAATCTTGTACTGGAATATTTTTGTCATGTTGAAATGGCATTTGCTTGAATGGCTGAGTCTGAAGTAAATTTTATATCTGTTTCTTTGATGAGAATATTTTGCTGATTGAATTTTTACTATAGCGAGTTTCATTAGCTTTTTTAGCATTATTTATTTCCAGTTCCTCTCTTTTGTCTGACATGGAAGTAGAATAAGGGATTGGTCTTCATGCAAGATGTTTTTTTTATGTTCCAGCTATCATTGCGATTCATTAATGTCTTACAAGTTGGAAAAGCAATTTGATTCCTTAAAATCTGTTGTAGGATAAATTTGACTTTGAACTATCAACACTTCCAGCTCTTATTCCTGTCCTCAGTACTGCTGCTGGCGAGACACTGCTGCTGCTTGTGAAGCATGCTGAACTCATTATCAACAAGGTAATATCTGTTGTTCTTGTGCATGGTGGATTGAAGGATGTGTTGTATATAGTGTTAAGTTGCTTCTAATGTTCAAAGTTTTCAATTTTTTTTCTATATTTTACGGGGTTTGAAAAATGATAAGATTGCCAAATTGAAAAGGTGCATCTTCATGAATACATTTAGTTCATTAGACCTGCTCGTATGACTTTAGAGGTTTATTGGAAGGATTTATTAATTGTCCATATGACCTTTAGAAGTTTTCTGGTTGTATTCATATATATATATATTCTGTCTAATTAATTTCTTCTTTTATCTCTTAAGAAAATCACGAAGCAATAACTTCTTGGTCTAGTGGCATAATATTTGAGAATCATGGTCAGGATACCTTGCTTGTTTCAATATAATATTTGATACTAATATTGTTTGTTATGCGATTATTGTAGACAAGTCAGGATAACTTAATATCCCATGTTCTGCCCTTGCTTGTTCGAGCTTATGATGATACTGATCCACGCATTCAAGAGGAAGTTTTGAGAAAGTCAGTCTCTCTTGCCAAGCAGTTAGATGTTCAGGTGACTGCCACGCGCACACAATATTGTGCATCTATGTGCTTTCATTTTTATTGGATAATCATTCTTATGGAATCTTTCTTTTTCCTGCAACCATTTTTAATTTGGAGTTGCTTTCATGACTTCACACACGTGTCCTCGTTCAAGCATGCCTATCTTGCTTAATATAATGCAGTGCCATCCTTTCCTAGGGGAACAGAAATTTTGTTGGTTTTATTGGTTGAAGTTTTCTGATACCCAATTACTCAATGTATGAGACTGTTAAACCCAAAACTCATGCAAGTTGAGGAGGGTGGGTCCTAGAACATGTGTAAAATATAATAATTCATCTCCATCCAAAATTATTTTTGGCCATTTAATCTCTGAAATTTATTGAGCCCATATTCAATTTGTGAGAAGTTCTACTGTATCCTTGTGTTTTTGTTTCTAAAACTATCATTCTTGTTAATGGTAGTTGTGCTTGAGGATTATCACTACTGAGAAACTCTTATTTTCTTTTTTGTAATTTAAAGTGCTTTTGGCATCACTTATAGATTGTTTCCAGTAAAAATAATTAAAAAAAAAAAAGTTGCTTTAAATTTGCTTTAAGCAAAATACTTAAGTTGAATATTGTGTTTGATAACAATGTTATAGAAAATCATCAAGCCACTCTTTCTTCATATTTTTTTTAAGTTTAAGTAAACCATTAAGTCAAAATGATAGTTTTTTGACTTTTGACTAAAGAAAAAGTTCAACTTAAATTTAAGAATTTGAGTGAAAAAATAGTTCCAACTGAACAATTTTCGGGTGATTATAATTTTTCTTCGAGTCAAACATCAGAAAACAACTTAAATCATCCATTGCCAAACACTTGTTGTTTGGTAGGACAAATTTATAAGTTGCTGGAAACCAAGTGATAGTGGGTTACATGTAAGAAACTTCTTTAAGGATTGAAATGGAGAAAAAAGGAGTACAAAACAAGTGATAGTTTATGTAGAGTTCAACAAATAAAAAATCCAAAATGATATTGATAGAATGCCAGAACAAAGTTGAATGTGGGTGGGTGCCCTTAATTGATATGACAGGTTAACTGAGTTGGATAAGCTGGTATAGTTTAGAATGCCTGATGTTATGCAAGATGATGGTTGTGATGTTGAATCTGCTATGGGATTTCTCTAGGCTTGGCTCTAATGGTTATATTTGGAGTTTCCACTCTAAGTTAGAATTTTGTCAACTATAGGTATTAATGACTAGCTTCTTTGTTCAGCTTATGCAAATACCCTTATACAAATAGACTATGGAACAATCCCCATGCTTCTTATCAACATTTAAAATGGATCTCTCTCTCTCTCTCTCTCTCTCTTCTTATTAATAAGTGTCTGTCTGTGCGCTTATTCTCTGCTATAGTAAGTGTGTTGTGTGTGTCTTGTCTGTTAATTAACGCACAGATTCTCTATGGTAGGTTCCAAAACTGTTTAGTTTATCTGATAGAGAAGTTCCTCGGTGCAAAATAGGGGTAAAGGGGAGAGGCTGGAAGGTGGTCTCATAAGAGAGGCAATGGTCCACTTTTATCTTCTTCTTCTTCTTCTTTTTTAAAACATCTTGCGTACTCTATTAGAGAAAAATTATATATTTTATTACGTCTCACACATGCAAGCCTTAAACCAGCCTCATTGCAATTACAACACATGGAATTGATAATTTTTAGGAAATCTTGTGGATCACTTGTTTTTCCCCGAAAGTTGCTACTTAATTTTGCTTTCTTCAGTCAATTTGATATATATATATATTTTTAATAAAACAGCAGTTTATCCCACCACCCAAATAGTTTCTAACCTGATCCTTTTACACCTTGGTTATTGAATTATGTAATTAATCTGAATGGATGTGGTAGCAGGCATTGTCAATTATCAAAGTTCCTTGTTGCCTAGATATTCCTTTCCCTTGGACCATGTATGTTATTTAACTAGAAGCAAGTCTACAACTCAAAAATTTACCCTTCTTGCTTGACATATTAATATATTTATATTTTTTTATTTTTTATTTTTGGTTAATAACTTAGTGCATGATTGGGTTGAAATGTTCGCAAAATGCTACTAAACAATGGTTGGTAATTCCTTTTTATTGGCATGCATTACAGGAGAGGTGCTGAAGTTTATTTTCTAAATTGTCTTAATATATAATCTTATTTTATTTTATTTTTTCAGCTAGTGAAACAAGCAATTTTGCCTCGTGTTCATGGATTAGCTCTAAAAACAACTGTTGCTGCGGTATGTATATTTTTGTTTTTATGGAGTTCATAAATATTAGATTAATGAGTTAATCTCTTGTGGAATTCCTCAGCAAGAATTTACTAAAGCATAGGTTAACTATATGCATCTTAGGCTATAATACGGTCACATTACCACATATCATTCTTCTAGTATTTGAAAGTCTTTTCAACCGTAGGTTGTGAACTGTTCTCTGTTTCTGTAGGTGGCCCTGGGATCCTTGGGGGGATATAATCTGCAACTAACTGTTTTTTTCTCTTGGCAGGTAAGAGTCAATGCTCTGCTATGTTTTGGAGATCTTGTTAGCACACTCGATAAACATGCTATTCTAGAGATCTTGCAAACAATTCAGCGTTGTACAGCGGTTGATCGTTCTCCTCCTACCCTTATGTGTACTCTTGGTGTTGCAAACTCAATTCTCAAGCAGGTAATGGTATCCAGTAGTTGACTAGGTTTAGCAACTATATTAGTATTCATTTGCAATTGGTATGTAGAAAAATTAAAACTCATTTTCCTGGTTAATTCTTGTCAGCATGGAGTAGAATTTGTTGCAGAGCATGTTCTTCCACTGCTTACACCTCTTCTGACTGCACAGCAGTTGAATGTTCAGCAGTTTGCTAAGTATATGCTCTTTGTAAAGGATATCCTCAGGTATTCTGCATTTTGTTGCCACCACAAACCTCTGAAACCCCTTTTCTATTTATGCATGCAATAAATAAAATCACTGTTCCTTTTATTATCTGAATTCTTTTTTTCTAAGTTAGGAACGTCTATTTATGTTTTCTGCATGCACATACTAGCAAACTTACCTTTTTTCCTTGTTTTTGAAACTTTGGGTTTTTATCATAGGATAATAGAAGAGAAAAGAGGAGTTACAGTAACTGATTCTGGAGTTCCAGAGGTGAAGTCATCATCTTTTCCCAATGGGGTTCAGCCTCAAGCCTTGAGCAAAACAAGTGGTACTGTTGCACCGGCAGCAAAGAGCAGCACTTCATGGGATGAGGATTGGGGTCCTGTCCCAAAAGGATCTGCCACTGCTCGCCGGCCTTCAGCAAGCAATGCATTGCCTACTCCATCGATTTCAGCCAATCAGCCAATTCAATTGACATTTTTGCAATCAGAATCTCCCATGACATCTGCAGGATCCAGTAAGCAAACAACCATCTCATGCCCTGCAGTTGATGTAGAATGGCCTCCACGGGCAACTTCAAATGTAATGCCTCAGCTAGATAATGGAAACAAGCAACTGGGCACAGGAGCATCATCCACTTCAAATTTTGATGATATAGATCCTTTTGCTGATTGGCCGCCAAGACCAAATGGCACTTCTAGTAGTTCTGGAGCTTCCAACAATGGCACAACAGGACCATGGCCCAATAGTTACAGTTCAAATTTGATCACGAGCACACCCAACAGTATGAATTTCCAGAACAACGAAAGTAACCCCTGGGCCTTCAACAACCAAAGCTCATTTGAGCCATTGAAACCAAATCAAGGCACTCCAGCTTTGAATTCTGGTAGTTTGAATAGTGGTCCTAATCCCCAGAGCTCTATTGGCTTCATGAAACAGAACCAGAGTACATCAACTTTGGGTTCTTATAACAATATGAAGTCAACAGATCTTGGATCCATATTTGGTTCCAGCAAGAATGAGCAGACTGCACCAAAACTTGCTCCACCCCCATCAACTGCTGTGGGTAGAGGAAGAGGGAGGGTCACCACATCAACCTCTAGGTCTAGCCATGTAAAGCAACAATCTGGACAACCACCTCTTTTAGATTTGCTATAATGAGTTGGATAGTACCTCTACCATATGAAAAAGGAAGCAGAGATGTGGATTGTACACTTGTAAAGTAACCGTCCATTGTGCAGAGACGGGTGTATTTTGTTAAATGTTGGAGATCCGACTTCATCATGTGCATGCAGCCACAGTGGTTATCGGAGATGGCGTGGCTTGTTATATGTCTACTGGTGTGGCTGTGAGTTGTTACTAGCATGTTGTGATTAAACTGTAAACAACATATTTTTTTCTTCATTTTGTAATTTTGTATCATGCTGCTCAGTGTTCCTTGTTCAGTCAAGATTTTGATATGGGGAACAGTTTTGGCGAGAAAGATGTATTCTTCAAAACATAGCCAGTTCCGCTACTGGTACAAATAATAAAAGATGAAATATTCGAGTCCCTGATGCTCTGAGCACTGATTGGTATAGGTACTTTTTATGAGAAGCTGAAGCAGGGAATATCTGGTTCTCTTATCGTAGCTATTTCTAATAGCAAAGCTTTAGCGGGTATTCATCTCATATTTTAAGTTTATACCTATGGTATATTACCTTTTAAATGGGCTTTATTTATTTGTTTTTTGCAAAATGAAAGATTTATGTTTATATTTATATTTGGCTTGAGTAAAATCTTTCTTTTCTATGACAAGTCGGATAATTTTAAGGTTGCATTCCTGACTTTTGAGTAGTCAAAGTATTGCTCTTTGTAATAGCATCTGCAAATATTTTGCAGTATTTGGTCTAGGAAGTGTTTTCACTCTTCACATTAAGCCCTTTTTTCTCAGAGTTCCATACATTCAGTTTTTTGGGGACAGGATTTTGTGGAGAAGAGGTGGATGATTCTGACTTTTAGGCCCAGCATTACATGAAGCTGTTGTCCCTGCCGAGCAGCCACAGCTAACTATTTATAAAAAGAGTAAGGCTATTTTAACACTGCAAGTTGAGTTCAATATTTTTCTTGTGTACTTGTGAATCCCAGTTCTGCACCTCTTCGTTGCCATATGCTCTGTGGCAGCTAAATTTGTATTCTATTTTGCGTTTCTCCCATGTAAATGCTTATGGATCTAAAAGCATGGTGATCATATATACCCATGGTTGCTCTCCAGCTACATGCAAAATAGCCCTGATCATAATTGATTTGTGACTTTGAAGTCCGATTCAATTGTTTTGAGCAAATGAAATGCATAAAAATATGTAAAAAAATGCAAAATTTCGTTCGTTCATGTTCTGACATAAAAATGTGGACACGAACATCCATATCTTGTAACATCTTCCGTCTACTTGATTACTCAAATATGTCTCTCTTCTAGTGCTAGTCATTCTCTCACTAGCTTAGGGAAATAATTGACTACTTAAAAAAACGTTTCTATTTCAATCCTTTTGTGTCAAGTTCGCCTTCTCAATGTGTGTTCAAGAGAAGTCATCTTATTGGATTGTTGAGCAATGACACTGCTTGTTGATGGATTTTGAGACAAAACAATCTCGTATCCATCATAATATGAATCCATGCCTTCAGCCAAAATCTGCCAAACCAAGCCACCACCAAGTGTCCCTCCATTTCTAGCAAAGTTGTAGATGCTCGTATAGACTGTATCCAAGAAAGAATCTCTCACACTTGTACTGTATCCTGGATCTTTCTTTGATTTCCCAAATTCAGCAAAAACCAGTGGCTTCTTCAATATTGTCTTTGAGTCTGTCCAATGAATTGACATCCACCTTTGCATGAATCCCATTTGCGCATCATCATTCTGTCCAGATACCCTGTAAATTTGACAGTACAGTACCAACCATGTTAATTATCTTTGAGACATGCCTTCTTAAGCATTGAGAATGAACAACAATCATTGATTGGTATTTCTTTTTGAGCTTACCATATGTCAGGGTACGCATGTATTGTAGCGAAATCAATCTCCCTGACGAGATGGTTGCTAATAAAATCTGTGCCAACTTGGTAACCAGGATTGTATTGCTTCCTGTCAGGAATAGAGTCCCCGTAGAAGCCTTCCATGCCTACTGACAACAAATGCTTGTTGTCAATAGATTTAACATAGGGTGCCATCTCTTGAACCCATCCCTGTCATATTTAAAAGATATCATCATAAGCTACCTGATGGCTACCTGCACAAATAATCATTGATGGTTGTTGTTTCTTACATTTACAGTCTTTCCTGAGTAGTCAACCTGGCAGCGTGGTTCGTTCATCAATTCCCACGCCATGATAGTTGGTTCATCCTTATAAGCTACTCTAGTGATTGTGTTAATCCTTGTTAACACTCTCTGCGAGACAAAAAGAAAAAAGAAAAAAGAAAAAGATGAACATTATGGCGTTAGCTTGTTGTCTGGTATGTACACTAAATTCATTTACAAGCATATCGTTATAGAAGCGAACTGGGTCATATTTGATTAAGGTGCTCAAAATGTGTACCTTGACATGGTTCTTGTAATAGCCCTTCACAACTGCGTTTGTATAAAAATCATCATCATTGTTTACTGGCACTCCTGCGGCTTTAGCCCAATTCACATACTGCGGTCTTCCTCCAAAGTCATGATAATTGTTGCTTAATGTCAAGATTAAGCGAATTCCGTACTTTCTTGCCTCAGAAATCACAAAATCAAGTCCCTGAGAATTACAAACAGTAGTTAATATTGTTTAATTTATTTGAGTAACTCTTGTCAACTTTTAGTAGAGGTAACTTGAGACAAAAAATAAGCCAAGCATATTATACCTGAAAGACAGGCTCGCTGTAAACCCCAGGAGAAATCTGCAGAGCTTGATCACCTCCATCACTAAATGCCCATGTTCGACAGACAGTGAGACCTCCGGCAGCAGCCTGGCGAAAGACATTGGATATTTTGTACCTTTGACTTGGCTGTGCTGCAACATTTATCATCCAATAGGAGTTGAACCCATTGAAAAGGAATGGGGAACTGTTTAGGACAAATTGGGTATTTCTAGTTTGAATGAATCCAGAGGTAGGAAGCCCAGCTTCACAAGTAGCTAAGACTAAAAGCCATAGAACAGAACCCCATGCAAAGCCAACATTCCTAAAGCTTGCCATTTTGCTTGAATTTTATGTTTTGATTGATTGGTACTTGAAGGGATGGATGTGAGGAGAAGTTGGGAAGATGTGGTGCCTATTTATAGAAGTGTAGGGTGAGGAGGAGCATATGGAAGTTCCTTGATGCATGCGTGAAAGATTTTACAGGATGAAATCATTATTAATTTGTATATCAGCAAGAAAAATGGATAAAGAGAGAGGTTATTTATGTATGCATATATTGTTTGTTGAAACTGTTGGAAAGTACAAGAAAGAAATATAGTATTAGAAAATTAAATTTGCGTATTGTTCGTTTGAAGGAACATGGGATTGGTGAAGAATTTATGAGATGTTACAGAAATTGGTGACGATCATCCTTAAAATCATGGTTCATAAACATAGCCAATCCATGGTGGCGGTTGCAATGCATGTGATCAGTAGTTTGATGACATATCTGAACCCGCCTTCCAAGTTTCCGGAGGCCAATCACCTTCTTTGTAAAATTAAGATTAGACAAATATTGGGTTGAATGCATACATGCTGAATATTTTCGGTTTGGATAAATTGAGTCTCCAATTGATCTTTGCTTTTTTAAAATCACGTCTATTATGTTTCTGAATAATATGTAAGTATCCAATAATTTTTTCGACTATACTAGTGTTTTGATCTAAATACACCATATTGAAATGCGAAAAAAATATATCTTAAAGTCACATAATCTACATATTTTATTTTTAAAGACTTTAGAAATTATTACTCCCTCTATTCTAAAAATAATCTCCTTTTCTATTTATATGTCCCAAAATACTTGTATGGTCAAAATTTTAAATAATATACTTAAAATATTTTTAATTGATAAAGAAAATCAATTCTTTTTTTCATTTTTTGTTCTTTCCTAACAAAAAAAAAAACAATATTTTTTATAATTTCTCCTTATACATGAAAAATTAACAAAAAAAATCAAAGAAAAATTTTTATTAGATGAAAAATATTCATTCTTGTATGGATTTCACTATATGCAGAAATTTTATATGAGTTAAATATTTCTATTATGACGTTATTTTTTCATAACTATTTTAAACTTGATCATTCATTAACTTAATGATTTTGTCTTTGATTTACCACTTTAATTTTGGATAATTTTTTTTAAAATAATGTTGGCTTTATGTAATACAAGATTAAATTTGATAATAGTATTTTAGAAAAATATATAAAAAAATGATGATATAACATAACAATTAATAATTTTCTCAAACCGTGTGAAAAGTCAAAAGAAACTATCTATTTGTGATAGAGAGAGTCTTCTTTTTAATCTTTTTTTTTTTTTTTTCATTTTGAGACTATCTATTTGTTACATGGCATTTTAATCGAAGGATAGATTAAAGAAAAATATTCAAGAAGTAATAAATACAATTTAAAATCCATAGATAGATTAAATATTTGGACTATCATACAAGAACAAATTGACTTATTTACCTTTTGGGTTGTAAAGCAAAATATATATTTAAACCAACTCACCTGTGTTGCAGCAAAATAAATTCCAATGGATGGATTTCAGCAGGCTGCCACAAGAAATATATATATATTCTAGCATTTGACAATATGGATCAAGCAATATGAAAATATTTATCATCCTATTTAGGTATATTAGAAAACAATCAGTTCTCTCATTAGTAAAAAGATCTTTCCTTTTCTATGGCCATGTGTGTTGATTGTTTATTTCAAAGTTGAAGACATGTGTAAACATAATGATATGTTATTGTATAATTAGTTATCCATAATCTAGAGTGATATATACTAAGTTGATCTGATAATTTCTTTGGTATTTTTTGTTCCATTTACAAAAATATATATGATATAGAAAACATATATAAATGGCTTTAAGTTTATAGTTAATGAAATATTTTTACATTAATATTCACCTCAACCGAGTTTAAATTCATTACTTTTTAAATTAAGAAAATATTAAATTTTCTTTAGTTTTTTTATCGAATATAAAAAAATTCAAAAAATTTTTAGTTTACTAGCCGTTCATGTTCAATATAAAAATAAATAGCGTTTGTTTGTTCTTTCTTATATGAGTAATTGAATATTCTTTACATGACGAGTGTATGAGCAATAACTGTAGATAGAAACAACGCTTATAAAAGCTAATGTGATACTTTGATTAGGCTCCTCATTCTAAGAAAAAGGTGTTTTCATACTATAAATCTTTTTTTTTTTTTTAATGTAGTCTTAAACAAATCATTTACGTCCCAACTAATGCATTAAAAGAATATTATTTTACTTGTTAGGTATAAAAATATTAACAAGTGCTCAAAGATATTAAAAATCTTAGTGCTACATAAACGGATCATGCTAGCCAATTAGATAGCCCTCTCTTAATTGTGGATATTAGAAAACAAAAAAAGAAACAATCATATGTAGTATTTAAAAATATTAAATTCCTTTAAAGGGAAGATGGAATTTAACGAGACACAACAGAAATTGACAAGGATCATCCTGAAAATGATGGATGCTGAACATGGCCAATCCTTGGTGACGGTTGGAATGCATGTAGTAGTTTGATGACGACATATATATATGGACCCGCATCCCAAGTTTCTAAAGCCAATGAATGCCGACAGTTGCGTTTATATTTCTGCAGTGAACCAGCCTTATCTTCCATGCCCATGATCCTCATGCATTGAATTAATGGTTAAAACGTTTGGTTTATTTTTTTATTTTTTAAATTTAAATTTTGAAATCACTATTTAAATAAATTATTATTTTTTTCTTAATATATTATGTCCTTGTAAGGACATGCCTTCAAATTATTCAAGAAAAGATCGATTAATTTAATCTAACTTCATGCGTAGACTAATATAAATATATTTTTAAAATTGAATAAAAAAATATTCTTACATGCCCATTAATATTGTAATTGCAAAGACACTACCATAATGATTGATTACACTGTAAATATATATATATATATATATATACAAATGAAGGTTACAAACTCGCAATAATGGTTGGAATGTATATTACATATGTTATACCTTTTGGTATAATTTCAAGAACTTGATTTAGTGATTAAGGAAGTTTGTTCGTTTTCTTTACTTTTTTATGTTCAAACTTTGTAAACAATATTGAAAAAAAATTATTAAATTTTTGTAGAAACTAATATAAAAAATACGTTCACAAAAATTTATTACTTTCTGTTAAAGAGTAATATACATTATATCTTAGGACTTCACATAATAACTTAAATTTTTGGATTGGAATAGTTATTTGACATAGTATCAAAGTTTGATTGACCAAGTGGTATTAAGTTTAAGTCTCACCATCCCAACTTTCTCAAGTATTGAGCACAAGATATTATGGACTCGGTTTTAAGCTTAAATGTTTGAGCTTTCATTTAAAGAGGTATATTAGAGAATAATATAAATAATATATTTTCAAAAATATAAAACACCAGCATCTAGTTGCATAGTATATGATTCATCTAAGTATCCATCATTTAAATGAAGTATTATCTCTCATAATCTAAAAAATAAATGAAAAGATCACCTTGAAAGATTACATATATTGACCCACCATGACTATCTTTTCCTACCATAGAGTAAGTCACTCTTGACCTATTCTAACACCTTCTCTAAGAAAGTATCAATTATTGAGTTTATTAATATTTTATTACTATGTTGAGAAATGAGTTAGAAAGTACACAAAAGTAGGTATGACCATCATGTGGCCATGCCTTCAATTTACAATACGTTTATGATATTGATACTCACTTATCATATATTTTATTATTTTCTACAAGTATCAACTAAATATGCATATAATCCATTAAGCGCTTCTTTTATTACCACGTGAAATGATTGCTTGATGAGTCATACTTGATTTTCAACTCCATTCATTATCCACTACCCCAATCACCCGACTAGGACAAACTTTGCAAAAAAAAAAAAAAAAAAAAGGTGTATGGGACAAACTTGAGTGGACTAATGCTCACCACCTAAGACAAAACTCAAACATATAATGAGCTAGCACCCTCCGGGACAAATTGACTAAACTAGTAAAAAAAAATTAAATAAAGGCTAGAGGGGAATTCAAAATGGAGAGGGAGAAAAGAGAAAAAAAGAAAATAAAAAAGGAGAGAAAAAAACCTGGTCGCTCGGATAGCGACCAAAGCTCAACCACCAACATGTGCTTGCCTTTAGCTTTGTCCTAATACGAAGAAGCCGGTGCCATCGGCCTTGCCTCGAGAATCCATAACGTTCCTCCTCAAGCGTTGTACATGTTTGAGGAACATCATGCCACTCGTTGATGCATGAAACACATCCTATTGATAGTTTCCTTTCATCTTTCTTTACTTTAGTTGCCAAACTATGTAGTGTCCAATAAATTAGTTCTTGATTTGCCTAATGTACTCCGATTTTATCCCCGATTGTGAAAACATATCTCCAATTCAATCCCTATTTTCAATAAGTTATCAACATCAACCCCTCACATACAAGACAAGATAATTTTAAAGCCATATGGTTATATTTAACACCTTCAGGACCAAAGACTCAAAAGAAAGTCAATTTAATTAGATGGAACATGGAGTCCATCAATCGACAAGGATCCAACCCTCAAGGATCCCATTCTTACTTAAGGAGTTCACTCTCTAAGGAGTCTATCCCTCCTTCAAGATTCCGTCCTCCATCCGAGATTCATCACTTCTGGGAGTCTATCTCTCCTTAGGGATTCCATTCCTCTTCGAGAAGTCCCACCTAAGGAGTCCATCCTTCATTAGGGATTCCATCTCCTATCAAGAATTCCATCCCCTTTTTAGGATCCATTACTTGTTAAAGATCCATCCCTCAAGGATCCCATTCTTCTTTAAAGAGTCTACTTCTTGAAAATTTCATCCCCCTTCGAGATCCATCACTTTTCAAGAGTCCATCCCTCTTCAAATATCTCACTCTTCTTCAAAGGATTCCACTTTTTAGATAGTCCATCCCTCATCGTAGATTCTATCCTTCATCCGAGATTTCATTATTTCCCGAGAGTCTATCCCATCTCAAGGATTCAATTCTCCATCTAGGATCCATCACTCTTAAGGATTTCATCCCTTCTATGGGATTCTATCCTCCTTTGAGAGTCTATCCCTCCTCAATAATCTATCCTTATCTAGGACTTTAATCCTCCATAAAATGTTCATTCCTCAACGACTTTATCTAGTCAAGCCAACTAAAAAGAGCTTTGGCCTACTAGAAGGTCCAACAATTTAGCCATCCTACTATATGCACAACACAGAATTTAAGAAGGCATACGTAGCCAAACAATATATAATTCTAGGAGAAATACTTATCTAAAGAGTACAAAGTTCTAAGAAAAATACTTATCCAAACAATACAAAATTCTAAGAGGCATACTTTGTCAAATGGTCATTGTCCTCTAGTAAAGTCCATGCCCATGATCCTCAAGGACATACTTATCCAAGCAATACGGAATTTTAGGAGACATACTTATCTAAATAGTATAAAATTGTTGGAGGTATACTTAGCTAAACGGCCGCATCCTTTCAAAAAAAATCCATGACAAGGATCTTCTAAGAAGTACCGGCCACATCCCTTCGAGAAAGTCCACGACCATGATCCTCAAGGAATTAACAACCACATTCATCCAAAAAAGCAATCCATGTAGAAGTCCACGACCATGATCCTCTAAGAACTACCGACCATATCCCTTTAGGAATACGAGTTCCTTTAGGAGCACATTGCCACGTTCCTCCCAAAATTCGCTCTTTTGGGAGTCTATTCCTCTAAGAGTATGTTTTTTCAGGATTTCTCTCCTCCAAGTGTTCATTCCTTTGGAAATACATATTTTTTTGAGAACACGCTTGTCTAGGAGTCAATCCCTCCTTAGGGATCGATCTTACTCCTTCGGGAGTCCACTTTTTCGAAATCACATTTCTTCAAAAGCTCGCAGACCTTGTTCCTTTAACTAGGAAACTTGAGTTGTATTTCTAAAGCCGTAGTCCATCCGGACTACATTGATCATACGAGAAAATTATTTTATTTCAAATCGAGTGAATTTTACTTTAAGACAAAGGGCAATTGATGGGACATGAAATTTGGGCTCCCTACAAGCCCACTAGTTTAGGCCTATTCATAATCATGGGCTCTCTTCATTTTGACTTTATAGCCACTTGGCCCAACAAACTAAAGGTATGCCCTAGGGTTAATATTTCCTACTACATAACAAGGCTCTCTCTTTCATTGGATACAACTCTAATAACTTAAACAACACATGTACAATTTTAGAGAGACATCATCTCATTCTCTCATACATACACATTATTCTCAAAATACTATCTTAACTATGGAATTGGCCTCGACAGGATATCTTCCAACACTACTAACACGATGCTTGTATTCCATAATTGTAGGACTTAATAGGACTCTATCACTATTTTTTCAATCCCTCAAAAAGATTGAATATCAAATATAATCAATTTATATGCCAAAATATTGTGCATCATCATTATAGATACATAAGTTACCAATTTAACTCATTTTAGTTCTTTTAAAAGGAAAAAAAATCATTTTGGCTCTCTACGATAAAGTATAAGTTGGAACCAATACATATAGTAACCGTTCTATGAAATAATGTAATGGTTTGAATAAAGTTAAAGAAGGAAAAACTAACGTTGGAGATAATAACATTATCTTTTTATTTTATTAACTGATGTGTGGCTTATAATGTATATTAAATATATTAAATCCATGCCATTTTAGTTTAAAATATTTATATTCATTATAAAAAAAAAAAAAAAACTAAAAGAAAACTTAAAAAAAAAGTTTGTATTCAATAATTTTCACGGCAGCAAGTATTAGTAAATTTTCCAGTATCACCTAGCTACCTAGCTAGCAAACTAACCAAATTATCTGGAAAAGCATTGTATACAACAATATATCTCGAAGGAGATTCATTTTAATTAAAAATACGTTTCTATTCTATACCGTTAGCAAGCATAAGTAGTTTTTTCAGTATCACCTAGTTACCTTGCAAACTAACCAAATTATATCTTGAACGATCTAATTGAATTAATTTATATTGGTTTTTCAATTACATCAGTTTACTTGTTTAGAATTTCGGTTTTAAATTTCTAAAAATTTACCCAGTAAAATTTGTATTGAACCCATTTAGTGCCAGATGAACATAATTTCAATAAAAAAAAAATCATATGTGTTAAGTCTTTGAAATTAAAATCTTATGCCGTTGGTAAATAAAAGGGATACGAATACATATTAGATTCAAATTAATGAGGATCTTTCCATAAATTACAAGAATGAATAAATACTAGAGTTACTTTACAAATTTCTAGAGACTTTGATGGCGCCCTGCAACATGATGGGAGATAAAGGTTTTTTTTTTTTGGACTTACAAAAAAGAATGCAAAGAATTCACTATCCATCAAAATTAAACGGTTTATATTTATTAGAGAGATATAAGTTTATTTAAACTCTATGAAATAAAAATCTTATGTTAAATTGGCTCTCCAATTAGGAGTCAATATCTTCTTCTGTTTTTATATAACATGTTAATTTTTTTATCTATTTTTTTTTTTTTAAATCTTTGGTTTGTTTTTATATTTTGAAATAACTTTAAACCTAATGACACATTGAAAGCTTTTTTTTTTTTTTTTTTTGAAACAGATTCAAAAATTGAATATTTACCTAAACTTAGACTCAATCACTTCAACAAAATTCCTACATAGATATTTATTTATGTCTACAATTTTTTTTTTTTTTTTTAAAGTAGAACGTTAGATTGGTTGAATTTGAAAATTTCAAATTTGGATTTGGTTATAATTTTGTTGGAACAAAACTGATATGAATTGACCAATCGTTTCTCGGACAGAAAAAATAGTCTTGTAAGAGGAAAGGGAATATATTATAAATTTTTACCTCGAGTTTTGAAAAAAAAATAAAAACCAGTGCTCCTTCATTAAAAAAAATTTTATTTAATCTCTGTATATTTAATTTTTTATAACTTTTTTATAACTCTTTTTCAATTTATTTTAATTTTAAAAAATTAAAAAAATAAAAGTTATGGAAGGATTGATGAGACATGAAATTTTAAGAAATTAAATAATATTAAATTAAATATGGTTAATAGTAATTAAAAAACTAAAAATGCAAAAATTTAATATATTTATTTTTTTTTAAAAAATAGAAGGACTAATTTATAATTTAGGCGAGGAGAGGACTGGCATAGTACACGCGGATAGTGTAAGACATCGCAGTATTTATTTATTGGGACCTTTATTACCCGAATCAAGAAATTGCAGCTTTAGATTAGAAGTACCGAATGAACATCCAATCCTAAGCAGTAAATGTGTCGGTCATTAGGGCTTTTTGGCAGCGTCTAATCATTTAAGTTTTTATACCATCGGAGTGACTAACAATGGCTGCAAAAGTAAATTTCATTAAAGGGTTTTGCTAACAGGTGACTTCTTAAGGAGCATTATTATTCCTCCAACAAATTATATGAAATTAATTTCTCTTTAATTAAATTACACATTACACGAAAATTTAGTTATTAATTACTTCCTATATATGTACTAATTTATTTGGTCTCTTTGTCTTTCCACAGAAAAATAATAAATATAGTGCCACATTTTCAACATTTCAATAATAGCCTTTTATTTGTGCACTTTTTATAAAGATTAAAAAACACAATAATTATGATTTTAATAAGAAGCATAATGAAAAAAATTAAATAGTTAATAGTGTGTCTTGACAAACATTTTACAACAATAAAACATACAAATATGGACAAACAAAATGGAAAGGTTTTTTTTTTTTTTTTTTTGACAAACATACGTATAATAAGTAATTGCAAGGAAATTTCTCGTTTCATTAAACTTACTTAGCTCTCTTCTACATATTCCACCATTAATGTTTTTTTTCCTCAACTCATAAATATTTTAATTTTTTTTAATTTCTTTTAATAATTTGTCATAAAAACATAAATATGTAGTCAAAATATTTGACGCTAAAAAAATGAAATAGTATAATAGGTGCAGTATTGTATAATTAAGATTCTATCGATCATTCTAAACAATATTAAAAATAAAAATAATTAATCTAATAATTAAATGAGTATTTCTGTTGGAAAAACATTTTCAAGACTGCTATTGTTGGTATATTCTCCAAAGATTAAAAAAAAAAATAAATAAATAAAAGGAAAATATAATGGAATTACAAATTTCAATCTTTATAGAAACCTTATATGGATGAAATTTCAAGCTTCAAAGCTAAAAAGATTTAAAAGAGAGAGAGGAATCAAGCAAAATAACACTTTGATATATGGCAATTCATTAATTCCATCTCTTACCTAATCATAATATCAACGAAAAGATGTTATTTTATTTAATTGTTGTGCAAATAAAAAAGCGGATCGATAATGTTGGCTTATTAAAATGAGGAGTAATTAAATTAGAAATTATTTTCTTTGGTTGAATTAATTATTTTTTATTTCAAAAATTATTATTTAATCTTTATATTTTTTCATATATTTGTAATTTAATTATTTTTTTGTTTTTTTTTAATTTAATAAATAAAAATAAAAAATTATAAAAAAATTGAGAATAATTTTTTTAAAATAAAATAATATTAAATTAATCATGATGACATTGATCAAATGATTAATAATTAATTTTTGAAACAAGAATAATTAATTAATTCATTTCTCTTAATTAGAAGGACTGATTTATAATTTACTCTTAGAATGAGAGATAAAAGGTTTTTTTTTTTTTTGGTGGATTTGTTAAAAACATTAGCAGTAAAAATCCAAAAGCAAAGAATAAAAGTAAAGCGGAGAATTCCTTTGAAAATTGAAGAACGTCACTTAAGTAACTTTCATAGGATTCAACGATCGAGATACTAATTAACTTGCTCTTAATTTATCCTAATTGAGACAATAAATAATTAATAAAGCTTTTAAATACTTTTTAA